AAGAGACAGCAAATGGGAGTAAGGCTTTGTGATGTTCTGCAAAGCAATTCAAATTCCTTTGGTTTTATGGTGAATGAAATCAGCAGGTTTTCTGAAAATAATCCTGAAATCCCAAGATTTCAATAAGGAAAAAACCTCTTTCAATCTGAGTCATCATATAACTTAGCAGAGAGATACTTCCATGTTACAAGCATATAGAGGACAGTTCAGATTCTGAAGAAGAAATCACCATTTATGATAGTCCCCTCTGCCTCTCCATATGGCTAAGGTTGATTGCAGCACTTGTACTCTGTCCTCAGTGAATACACAGGGAGCCAGTGGAAGAGTCTGTTACTCGCTTTCTCATACCCTCCAAGGAGACACAAGGCAAGGGGAGAGAAAAAGCGCAGCTGCTGAAACTGGACATAGAAAAGATTGATCTGTCTTTCTGCCACTGGAGGACTGTTCACCACAGTGCATAGCCTGTGCAGAAGTAGACACTGGAAAATACAACAGGGGCGTGATGAAGACAGAGGTATCTTGGAATGGAAAATAAAAACTTACTGGTAGAAATAGGGTGATCTGACAGAGGAGATGAGTGGACTGTAAGAGATTACCAAGGAAAACAGGTAGCAGAAGAGAGAGAATAGGATGCAGTAGGAATCACAGAATTGTAGAATGGTTTGGGTTGGAAAGGACCTTAAGATCATCTAGTTCTAACCCCTCTGCCATGGGCAGGGATGCCTCACACTAGACCATGTCACCCAAGGCTCTGTCCAACCTGGCCTTGAACACTGCCAGGGATGGAGCATTCACCGCTGCCAGAAAAGAAGCCAGATAAGAAGCTAGACAAGAAGGCTGGAAGGCACAGAGTGAGGGTATCTTTATGATGTGACATCTGTCACATCACCTAATAACAGCATGTATAGACATAGATTATGTGTGAGACACAGAACTACTACTTGTGCAACACATGCATGTTTGGAGTCCCTACTGGTCTGAAATCATGTGTGTCTGGCAGACCTATCCACAACCTTCTGAAAATCTGGATGATCAGTGTGCCTGTGTGCCTGTGTATGTGGGGCAGATGAGTACCATTAAGGGTCTAGTCCAAACCAGGAGAGTAGCCATGCAGAAATAGATAGCTAACTCTGATTTAATTAACTTAAGTGTTCAGTAAAACACAGTGTTTCTTCTGGTGATAACAGGTCCAGTGAACCCTACAGACATGCATGTGATTTTCTTGTAATGCAAACAAACAAAGGGATTCAAGATGAAAAGATCGCATTGTGACTAAAATGAGGTATTTCAGTGGGAAGGAGAGAATGAAAGTATGCTTGCTTTTAAACAGTTACTCAGTTTTAAAAATTCAGGCCACCATAGGTTGTTGGCAGAAGAGTAGGGGAGCAGAAATGATGGAGAAAAATGGGATGAAATTGTCACATTCTTGCACCAAGAGTTGTAGTGAGGGATTCGAGAACTAATGTAACAGGAATTTTCTGTTTGGACTGGATCAGCCTCTGCTTTCATGAGTCAAAAATAATAAATACAGTATTTCTAACATCATAAAATCACAGTTAAAAAAGGCCAGTAGCAGTAAGTTTTTGGAAGATGGGGGGAAAAAAATCACACCAGGTTTACACTGAGAAAGCTTTAAGCCTTCAACATGTCAGATATTTTGGGAATGATTTACCACCCTTTTCTCAAAATAAACTGTAAACTCAACGAGATGCAGACAGAAAACAGGCCTCCCTATTGAACTTTGACACAAGAATAATGAAACCATCCATAACCCACATCTGATTTGTTTGGGAAATTTTGCTCTCTATTTAAATTACTTCTTGCTAGGAAAAGGGAGGAAAAGGGCTTATATAAAAAATATTTCATAATCTTTCAAGCATCACTCATCTTTGTTTCTAGCATCTTCAAGGCCTTCCTTAGGGATGTAATCCAAAAGCTACTGACACCAGAGCTGAAGATTCTGACTAACTTCAGTGAAGCCGAGGCTTGTGTCTAAGCCAGACTCTTCATCTAGTACATTTCACAGACCACTGCCACCAGCAAGGATGATTCAGTCAACAGAAACAAGAGCAAGCCTCCCAGGAGGCAGGAGAGCAGGGCATTCTCAGTGGATTCTCAGTGCCTGAAGATCTCCTTGACATGGAGACAGACCACGAGAGATTTCTTCCTGTATTGGGAGCAGAGGACATTGTGCAGTGCAACTCGTGGCAAACAGGCTCTGAGCAGCATGTCAGCATCTCTCCCATACTCTAGCTCCTGCATCATACAGTGACATACTGACATACAGGCACCTTAGAAATGTGTGGGCTTTATCTGTAAACCCATAGCATAGTCACAGACCAAGTGATACATTTTAACATCTTTTAGGAGCTATTGCTTTTCTCCATGCCATTTCTCCTCCACTTTATACTAATTTGTATTTGGTACTGCTACCCTGAAAGCTTCTCTAAAACTTCCCAAGAGATCTATCATATCTTGCCTGTTTTCCCAGGTTTCTAAAATTAATTTAGATCAATTATTTAATATATTCAATCACTTTCTTCAAGCCATTTACTATAGATATAGCCAATTATTCAACATAAAATACAGCCAGATCATTTCACCACAACCAAAAATGTGATTTATCATCACGTTCAATTAGAACCCACTGAAGGCAGTGGCAAAAGTCCCATCCAGCTGAATAAGGATCAAGCCTTTAATTTACTGTGTCACAGGAGTAACGCATGGTAATGGAGAAGCTGGGATACGTACGGGATTCCAATTTCAAACAGATTGTTTTGAATCAGTTGTTTTCCGAGCATAATGATGCTCAGCTGAATACAGAGTTCCATCAAACATCCTCCTGGAGCACACTGTAATTAAACAAAACCATAAAGTGTGAAGGGATTAAAAATATTAATTTAAAAGTACACACTTGGGAGACACACTGATGTCTATATGTGCCCATTGCCCTTGCCACCAATTTGCACAGGAGCATGGAGCTTGTCGATCATTTCAATTCTATGCTTAACAAGGTATTTCATCTCTACTCATAAAACTGCATTATGGAAAATGTGCAGAGCTCTGAAATAACTTGCTGTGCCCTGGGGCTACTATATTTCCTTTTAAATATTTACTATATAATCAATGTAATAAACATAATGCAGTATCACCAATACTCTTCCAACCTGATGTCTCCCAAGAGAGAAGAAAGTCTTCAATCTTGCAAAGACGTATGCATAAGCTTTATTGTAAAGCCGTTAGTATGTCAATTGATTTTCAAGGGAATACCCACAGCAGTTAGAAGGAATTTTGAGGAAAAAAAAAAGTTAAAAAAAAAAAAAGTGTTTACAAATTTAGCACAAAATGGCTATAGCTTTTTAGGCTATTAAATTGCTAGGCTTCTAGTGACCTACAGTGTGATAAGACATACTCTGCCATAGGTTTCCCACGGGCATCATTCAAATCACGTAATGTTTGTGCCTTAGTGACCAGTTGTAAAGTATAGAAATGGTGAAGCTTCACCTAAGAAAGACCATGAATTACCCAAAACTGCAGAAAGAAAGTACATAGAAGTGCCTCAGATGGAAAATTTGAGGGTTTTCTATTCATGTGGAAGATTTAGCATCTTGTCTTAATATATTTTCTATTTTTTCTCATTGTCTGGACTTCAGTGAAACATGCTGTACACATATCTTTTTGTTAAGGATTTTTCCTCTTGAATTTCATATGTACTTACTTCTTCCATTCGATAACTATCAAACACATATACATAACGTCCAGGCCGGCCAACAAATCTGAAAGCAATAACAATACATGAAATAATATAAAAATAGGACAAAGTTAACTTTAACAACAAAACTGTTCATACATATTAGCTAAAATAAATTTCACAAATAGTTACTTCAACATGAATTTTAAGACTCAAACCTATTCAGCTTCAATTATTTAAAATTATTTTGAAGTAGTAGTACTCTACAAATGTTTTTTCACTACATCTTGATGAAATAATTTTAATGAAGTATTTTTCAGTGCTGAATAATAATAATAATATCCTTCTCTCGATTGAAATCACAAAGAAAACTGTGAATATATATCCTACCTCACATGCTATTGTATCTGAGTAATGCCCTAAATGGAATTATTTACACATCTATGCACTGTCAAGGCTCTCTTGACTACACAGGGAGAAACAGTGAGGTTGATCTTATTATAAACATACAACACAAAAATATGGTTAAAAAAGAAAGAAATTGGCCATATTTTTCATTAATGTTTTAGAATATTAACAACTGCTAGTAAACTGTATCATTAATTCTTTAATCAACAATGCTGAGTAGGACTATTGAAGAGTATAGATTAACAAACTTTACAGTCCCCAAAAGGAACAGAAAAATAGTATGAAACAGAATCCAGAGGATACTTTAAACATTTTTGCCAAAGTTTTAGCAAACAATCATTTTAAACTTCGCATTCAAAAGCATGTGTTATACTGTGGATAAGTGGGTCCCAAAAGACAATGATCCTGAACCCATAGGAAGTCACACCTATTTAACAGGACAGCTGAATTAGATTTTTGGTCAATCAGTTCATTTGCCAAAACATGCGACTTCCAGTTGACTATAACTATTTCTTAATTTAACTTGATACAGGCACATAGTGCAAAATGTTCAGAAAGTAATAATGTAGTTCCACGATTCAAAATGAAACAGGAAAATTTTTCTTTGCTAAATGATGCTTCAAGAAAGATTTGCTAAAATGCGGAAAATGAAGACCTGTATGTATTACTGTTCACTCATAAATGCAACACTTTTTTTATTTTCTGAGGTGTGGATTTTTCCTATTTTAGAAAGAAAACTGAAACTGTTGCATTTCATAGCAATGTTCTACTTAGAATAGAGACACAACAGTAGTCATCAAGCCCCACCGTTAAAAAGCAAGCTTTAGACATGCTTGTTTATGATATTTTTTCATAGCTGGTGAAGGTGACCAGTCCCAGACTTGTAGTCCTTTTTGCCTATTTTTAAACACAGATCCACTAATATAGACATATATATACATAAATATCTATATACATAAATAGATATTTATACCTAAAAGATATTTAACCTACCTTCCTTTAAAAAAGGCAACGTAAAAAATTGGTGCATAAGAATTCACAAACTTCAGTAGGAATGCCTTCAAAATCAGTCTCTCCTCAAAGTTCTTCTCTGTTTTGGGTACCTCTGGGAGAAGGAAGAAGGAACAAGCCAGAGAGATCAATTGGTAAATATGTAAACATCCCTGATATCCCCAAATACAAAACAAAACTGCAAACTTTGAGCTAATACTCTTTTTCCTTTTCTACTTTTAATTTGTACGAATGTGCACTAGCTCTGTCACTG